TCAGTAAGCAGGGATAGGTCCATGTTGTTCCAAAACATATATCACTTTTGTTTTTGGATATGTGTTTCACTTCCTCTTGCATATTTTGTAGTCATCACCAATAAACTATGACAGAATAGAGTTATGTTTTACAATCATTTACCCTTAAGTTTAACCAACATTGATAAATAGCTATCTTCTATAACCACTATTACTCATCAACCCCATAACCCAATTTTTTAAGAATTTAGAGGCTTATGATAGTCTGCTTCCCACGCTAGTAGCTTTTGTGGCTACAAGGACACTAGACAGACACAAAATCTCTAAGCAAGTCCAGGCAGACTATCATGTCCCAAGCAATGTATTATTAACCCTTAATGGCCAAAGTGTCCAAAAAATTCCTCAGGCCAAAGCTTATGAAATTATTATTCAAGTTCTGGCATAATACAATGTTTAAATTTTATATCTTTATAGAATTGATCTGTCTAATCCTGTCATTCTCTTGTCTGTTGGTCATATGACATCACAGTGGCTCTGCATGTGCTAACTTTTCTAATAAAGGGAGGTCTTGAAATCTCACTCTTTTACCACCATTTTATGTCGTTCTTTGCCCATCAGTATAAGTCTCTGTGTAGGGCAGAGGTAATTTCAGTTAATCTAACTTTCTTGCTGTATATGCCACACAATTGCGTTAGAATTGGTGGGAAGAGGCTTGCAATCTGATCTGTGGCCAATTCATCTAGCCCACTGAATCTTGTTGAACTTTTTAAGTTTACTTTGTTTTTATCCTCTCAATCCCCAGTAAGTGCAGAGACAGATGTTTCAAGAGTGTCTCATAGCATCATAAAGAGATCTCTGGCTTCTTTATGTGTGTCACAACCTCCAAGGCATAAGGAAGACCTTGAAGCAGATCAGGATATCTCCCTAAAAATGGGAGGGATAGTGTATTCAGAACTTTCCTGGGGAAGCTTAGAGGCAGGAGTCCTGGGAGAAGGTGTAAATCATTCATAAGAAATTTTCCATTAATCTAATATCCCCAAATTGTGCAAATATTAAAAGTCTCCCAAGTATGCAAGAGGTGGAGATTAAAACTATAGGTGGCATAGTGGCATCATGTGGATCAGCTTTGCTGGATCCTTGTCAAGCAGCTCTGCTGGCTTCATGACTTTCATCATTAATGTCAGATATGGCTGTGCCACACCAATACTCTGCATAATTTAGGTTCCTTCAGAGTAAAAATTGCATTTATATATCCTGGATCTTAATTCACTCTCACTTATCTCTTTGTACATAATGAATAGCAATCTTTCAAATAGATTTACTAAGTGATGATTAAATTGATTGATACAATCGAGTGAATACATTTACATATCTATCCCTAACTATTAAGATAAAGTATAATAAATGAATACAATATTCTGCCTGAAGCCAGGTACTTGGCAGCACTTCTTGGCAGAGTCTCCCTACTATGATAATGAATGAAATCAAATTAAATGCACACCCATCTGAAACTTCCCCCTTCAAATTTGACATCTATGTTGGAGCATTTCTATTTACTTCCTTAGATCTATTCTCCATTCTTTTCTGCCAGACTCTAAACTTTTAACATTAATGGCTAGGAATTACTTTACTCAATCTAGTCTTCCCTTAAGCTCTCATATAATGAGTTTAGTTCATGGGACATGCTGGCAGAGCCTTAGAAAACAAGAGATGGGATTAACTGAAGTATTTACTTCCCTTCTTAATTTTGATGGAATACTGTTGGACAGTGGATTCCAGCTTTTATCTAGGAACACAGCTCTAATTACGCTGACCATTATGAGTTAGTTTTCTACAAATTACCATAAACATCAACAATTTAAACAATACAAATCAATGACCTCACAGTTTTATAGGTCACCATTATCACAGGTCTCAGTGGACTAAAACTGCAGTGTTGGCAAGCCTACATTCTACACTAGTGATGGTAGAACAGAATCTGTCCTTGTCATTTCTAGATTCTAAAGTTTCCCCACATTCTTTTGTTAATGACCCTCTCCTCCATCTATCTTCAAAGCAAGCAATATTATATTACATCTCTTTGATCTATTCTTCTTCATCACATTTCTTTATGACAATAGCAGGGAAACATATTCCTCTTTAAGAAGATTGATAGAGCCATCTAGATAATTCCATATAATGACCTTACTTCAATTCAAGGTATTGAACCTTAATGGCATATACAGAATTTCTTTCCTTTCCTTTTTTTGCCATTTAACTTAACAGATTAATACATTTTGGTTATCAGGGCATCAGCATCTTTGAGGAGCTATGATTTCCCCCATGCACGTAGCTTTAGCTCTTATCATTTCTGATACCACTATTCTTTTTAATCATTACCTAATGTTTCAAAGTGATAACAGCTTCATGATGTTACTAAATTCTTCTGCCTTTGAGAAGTCATTTTATACCCTTGTCCCTGTATAAGTTTTTCCATTAAATTAGCTTCACTTAATAATTCGAGTATGCCATATGATTTCTTCTAAATCCTTGATTAATAGTTAAATGCTCAATCCATATTACATATAAAAATGTATGACTGGAAATTTGATTTAATTCTAGAATTCACTATTTGGACTTTTGTTAAAGATCTCTCATGATCTCAATACCTTAGGATAATCTTCAGTCCAGTAAGAATGAAAGACTATGAGGATGAATCAGGAACACTTCTGCTATCATCATTTTCATATATATTTATGTAGATAGAAACTTGAAATGTGTATTCATAATTTGGAAATATAAAGTTGTTTCACTCAGAAAAATGAACTTGTGAAAAGCTCCATTACTTAAAAGTATTTATGGACTATCTAATTCTTTATCTACAACTAGAAAAATGAAAATAATTAATATCTGCTAAAAGTAAGTCACTCTAAAACAGCATTAGAATTCAAAAATCCACTCCATGTCTCGCTACATCAAAACCATTGCTTCATGCCTAAGATTTAAGAGGAAATAAATCTGTTATATATTTATCTGCTTTGTGGTTTGTATACATTATTTAACAACGCTGAGCCTGTTCCCTGTAATTTGGATTATAGTATGTAGAACGGTGTTGACAAATTGAATAGGCTTTTACAGTGTTTGTAGTGCTTACTATGCCCAATGCATTATTGAGCAGCATTAAGTCCTTCACATTATTCTAGGTTAAGATAGCAACTTCATCTCCAAAAATCATTCCTAGTTTTCTCCAGATTTATAAGATTCCCATTACCTTTAAATTCTTAAAATTCTTATAAACAATATGTAATATTTAAGTTTTATTTACAGTGGTGATTATAATATTTTTCAGAGGGGAAATCATGATCTTTGGTGCTTTAGCATTTCTTTCCATACCTAATATAGTAGAGAATAGATAAGAACCACTTGAGGTAGATGAATTTCTAAACAGTCTTATTAAATAAGAAACACAGAGCCAAATACAGAGGTAATAGCTGAAGATATCAGAGCAAAAAGCCATGACTAGCCCTAGTAGCCACCATACAGTAGCTTCCACAGAAAGCTTCTTCCTGTCTGATCTGTGCTTTTATTGCCTTCCTGTTCTGCCTTCTCATTGGTTCTAAGCCCAGCCACATCACTTCCTTGTCACTGCCTCTCTATATAGATCTCCAGGTCTCTATGGTTGATACCGTGTTTAAAGGCTCATGTCACCATTCTTGGTTGTGTCCTTGACCACACAGAGACTCTGCTTACCAGATCAGAGTAAGGGCATGGGCTACCACTGCCTGGCTCCTATTTATGGCTACCTGACCTCTGATCTCCAGGCAAACTTTATTTATTAACATACAAATAAAATATGACATTTCAGCACAAATAAAATATCGCCACATTTCCTCTTTTGTTCTAATAAAAAGAAAAAATTATAACCAATATAAGAAAAACTATATACAATAAGTACAACTATATACAATATATACAAACAATAAATGCCTCTACAATGTCTAGTCCATTTGCATTTGACAAGCTCAGAGAAAATATTCCATTATCTATCCTATTTTGGTAAGTAATGTACCTGAATCACTTTCTATCCTAACTTATATTACTAACAGAGAACTCTCTTATAATGTCTTTCAAATTTATACACTTTACACCTCTTTAGTGAATTTCATTTATGAAATTCTTAACAAGGAAAACTATAACTATCTAATCATCAACTCCCTCAGAGACCTAAGAAGGAAATAATATTACCTAGTAAAACAGGAAGTACAAGCAAGCGGCTTCCAAAAAAAATATATATATGAGTTGGCAAATAGGACAAAATGGACAGACAGGACACAAAACAAAAAATTACCAATCCCTGCCAAGACAAGTGTAGTTGTGGCTTTAGCAACAGGCATCCTCTGAGGCCAGGACAATACAGCCAGCTGCCTGGATAGTCACCCGAGGTTTCTCAGCAACATTAGGGCATCATCTTCAGCCTATAGGCTTAGCATATCCGACAGATTCATTTGTGAACTAGGATGCACACAAGGCCTACAGTTTGACCTCACATTCAGTGAGAGTAGTCCATGTACCAGATAAACCTGAATTCCACCAGTGTCTTGTCATGATTCAGGATTTTAAATTCTGGAAATTGCTGATGTTTTTGGAATTTGACTGTACATTCTTCTCAGCTTGTAGGTGGCTTCATTTCTTTTATTAAATGCCAATCTACTATTAAGAGGTTAGAATTCATCAGCCTAGTTACTCTTTCAAGAATAACTGTTTCAGCTATTGTTCCACTGCATTCCAGAGGCCATCGGTCCATTGCCTGTTCAGCTGCCTTCAAAGAAAGGGGCACTGTACCTTTTTCTGGATTGCAAAGGCCAAGTCAGCAAATGGTGCCATATTGTCCTGGCCTCAGAGGATGCCTGTTGCTAAAGCCACAACTACACTTGTCTTGGCAGGGATTGGTAATTTTTTGTTTTGTGTCCTGTCTGTCTATTTTGTCCTATTTGCCAGCAGTCAATTTGAGGATACTTTGTTGTCCAGTGGCTAACTTTGGCCACAGTTAAAGTTAACTCCATATTCAGCTTCTTCAATGCCCATATCTTCTCTGAAGTAGATTGGTGCTGCCAGGAGCCGACATGTCTCATAGTTATAAAAAAAGAAAAAAAATCTAAGTTATTAAAACATTTTAAATGACATATTCTGTAGATCTCTGAAGGGTTTGAAGATGACCTATCTAATTTATATCTCTGCTCGATCTTGAAAACATACCTAATATGACTACCAGTTCAATTGTAATGTCTAACTACTAACTTTCATTTCTTTATATCCTAATAGTTGGTAATAATAATATTCAAGGATTAGCAAATTGCATTACATTGTTAAATAAACTGTGTAAGTACAATATCCTGAACAAGATTAAAAATATATGTACAGCATTTTCTAACAATATTAATCTCAATATATATAATTTGTATACAATATATAAAAATCCAATCCAATGTAAAGTATTTAAAACTAGTAATTGTCTTTTAAAAGTAAATTCAATAATCTATCTTTTTCATCTGTATCATATCTATAGACTCACTTTACGTTTCAGAGTAGATTCAACAATCTACCCTCTATTCTATCATTTCTATATATATATTTTAATCAAACAAAAAACTTAAATCTAATCTCCTTTGCTTAGCCCTTTTCCTAACCATTAACAACAACAACTTTTTTTTTAATTTCCTAATAAGATTAAATTTATTCAGTACCCTAGAGTAAGAATTTTGATTATAAGTATCCAGCAGTATAAAAAGTACAAAACAGATCTGTAGATTTCTCACATATTAATACAAAGTGCATGACTACATGCAGTACATCATACAAGCAGGTAGTGGAGGGGGAGAAGACTGTGGTTGAGGTCTAGTAATATATATGTAGAGATGATCCATTGAAGTATATTCCATCACCAATACTGCAGCCAAATGTACAAAATAACAAAATCCCATGTCAAGTAATGCAGGAGAATGGTAATGGCTGGACTCTGTACTACACCAAGGGCCATGGAGACCCAACCCACTCATTGAGCAGTCTCTGCATGTGGTGGCTTGTACTAGGTAGGTTTTTCCAAAAAGGAAAGAGGCTCACAATGTAAAACTATAAGGTACCACAAACTGTGGCCCTCCTTGTTGTGAAACACTAACAGACTTTAATAAAAATTGAGTTTTTAAAATAATTATGAGTGACAGAATACTAAGGCAGCCATAAACCCCTCCCTCTATGAGAGGTCTGAAATGGCACTATTGTTTTTCCTGAATTTTGAGAAGAGGCAATCAGACAACTTCAGTAGGGCTCAACTGAGAAGCCCTTGCTGAGATCTCCATGTGAGGAGCTCCATTTGTCTATCTTGTCCTGGTGATGCATAGGCACAGTTGATGCTGCTTGGGGTACATTTCTTAGAGGGCTTGCAGTGTGTAAATAATTGACATTGGTGTTATACAACTGTCTGGGATTCAATGAAATCCACACAATTGAGTTCTAGCTCTGGGTTATCTCCACTGACCTTTGTGGAGATTTTATCTATAGAATAGCTCTTTGCCTTGTCATAACTTTATTAGGGTTTCGGTTTTGTTGTTTTATTTTTCTCCCACTATTTAAAGTTGATTAGAAGAAAAGAGTTGTGTGTTGAGGTTGGCTTCTTGGAGTTGAACAAGAACAACTTGTAACCTACCCTTCTAAACAATGAAAATTATCCCAGACTCCAAACCCATTGAAAGACCAAAAAACCACCCACCCCACACCACCTCTTTGGGAATGTGGGTGTCATGTTCTTAAAATTGCTTCATGCTGGTTGTGGGCAAAGGCCTCTTTATTCTGAAAAGAAAATTTTGGGGTTAATTGGCAAGTTCTAGGAAAGGTAGCTATATCATTTGTTGTCCCGTCTCTGCATAATGCCAAAGTTCAGGGCTTATCTCAAGTCCTTATTCAAGTAGTCTGTGAAACTGGATCATCTCAGCTAGCCACCTCAAAATTATTCTGAGCAGTTTGTAGTTCAAAGATGATCTGTGGTTGATGTTTGTCAGCTTAGTGTTATTCTTATTGTCCATGTGAAATTGTTGTTGTGTGGCCCCATCATCTTCCTGGAGACTTCAAATTCAATGTTAGGCCTGGTCGTGATTCTCTGCAGAAAACTGATAGAGACTCGAACACAAAACCATGTATAGACAGCTAATTGAAGCCTCTTTTTCTAGAATTAGTTAGTACTCTATATGACCATTAATATATGAAAAGTTTTATATATATATATATGCATATATATATATATATATATTAATCTTATAAATTTTGATCATACCTTAGGAAAAGTTTAAAGAATCAAAATAGAATTTAAAAATGATATTAGTAGCAATAGAATAGTCCTTTAATTTTTTTGTTTTGTTCTGTCCCATGTCAGAAAATTGCTCTCTCTTCTGGCATGATACAGAGATTTCACATTTTCTTTTAACAATGTGCTTGGTTTTGAAGAAGGAGAGAGCCATTCTCCAACTCCAAAGCCAGCTTTAAATTTTAATTGAACTGGGATTACAAGAAGACCATTTGTGTTAAATGTCTTTAGAGAAGAGCAGAAACAAACATTTAGGAAGACTTATGAAATTTTATATATGATATTCCAATAGGCCAACTTACTCCTTTTCTTGGGACATTTTTTTATAGATGATTTGCCCTTTTTCTTCAGATGTCTCATTTGACCAGTGTTCTTCAGATTCCTTAGCCTTCATTCTCCTAAAAGACAAAAACAGAAAACTTTCCCCAAGACTAAATTTGGGGAGGTTCCCTTTTGGCAAGTTATATCTGATTAAAGAAAAGGCATGTGTTAGTGGTATAAGTAGGTTTAAATTGGATGGTCATGCTGGTTAATTAACTATCACCTCTTCTAATTAAGAGGTCTCTCTTGTTCAAATCAAACCTTTATCAATTTTGATGGTATCCACAGCTTATCTTCTCCTGTAGAAACAAAAGCAAAACCTCGTCCCCAGTGTAACACATATATTGGTTTCCATTCTGAGGTCAGCACATCCTTAAAGCATATAGGCTGATTTAGCTCTGTAGTTTTTTCTATTATCCAATGTCTCTCTGCAGTTGTTGTTCCTTTCTCATTTGCATTAAGAAATTCAAAGTTAATAGAGCATTATGTAATCTATTTCTGAATTTTTTGTTACCCCTTTCTGTTTATTTAGTATATACTTTAGAGTTCTGTTTGATCTTTCTGTAACTGCTTGTCTTATAGGATTATGTGGTATACTTGTAATATGCTTTATATTGTAATAAGCAAGAACTGTTTCATTTTAACAGAGACATATGCTGGAGCATTGTCAGTTTTAATTTGTGCAGGTATACCCATGATGGCCATAACTTCTAGCAAATGAGTGATTACAGAAACAGCTTTTTCAAAACTCAAAGCAGTTGCCCATTGAATAAGTATCAATCATATGGTGTATACATTTCAGTTTTCCAAATTCTGCAAAAGGAAACATATCCATCTTCCAGATTTCCTTCCTCTGAGTACCCTTTGGGTTACATCCTCCTGGTAATGGAGTTTGATTGTAAAAGGAACAAGTAGAACATTTCCTTACAATTTCCTTGGCTTGTTGCCAGGTTATGGAAAAATCCTTTTTAAAGCCTTTACTATTAACATGTTTTTTATGAAATTCCGAGGTCTCCAGCAAATTTCCTATCAATAAATTATCAGTATCATCATTACCTTGTGCTATAGGGCCTGTCAGACCCGTATGGGATCCAATATGAGTTATATATAAAGGGTGCTTCCTATTCCTTATTATGTCTTGTAACTGAATAAATAGTGAAGTTAATTCTGACTCATCAGGGATAAATTTTGCAGTCTCAATATGTAATACCACTTTTTCAGCATACTGAGAATTAGTAACTATGTTGAGAGGTTCTATAAAATCCATTAATACCAATAGATTAGCATACAATTCTGATTTTTGAAGTAAATTATAAGGACTTGAACCACTTTACTTAAATTTTCTGATTTGTAAAGTGCCTTTCCTTGTTTGTTTGCATCTGTATAAAATGTACGAGCTCCAGATATGGGTGTTTCCCATACAATGCAAGGCAAAATCCAGCCAGCTCTCTTTATAAGTACAATTCTATCACTTTTGGAATATTTGCTGTTAAACTCTCCCAAAAAATACTACCAGTTCTTTGCCAAAGTTGAGTTATTACCCATGATTTTTCAATGACCTCCTTAGTTAAAGGTATGACAATTTCTGCTGGGTTTATTCCTGCTAACTGGCGATGTCTCAATTTTCTTTTAAAATCAAGTCAGAATTTTTCACTCTGTTTATTTGGTAGAAATATCTATTCCAATATAATATCTTCCCTCTGCATTAATATTCCTGTAGGAGAATGCTTAGAGGGTAAAATAACCAAAATGCAATCAAGCTTTGGATCCACCTGATCCATGTATCCTTCTTGTACTTTCTTTTCTACCAAGGCCAATTCCTTCTCAGCTTCAGGTGATAATTCTTTTGGACTATTTAAGTCCTTGTCACCTTCTACGGTTGATTTTTGTACTGAATTATACCACAACTTGACAATATTTGTTTTTCCAAGATGGATTGCTATTATGAAAGGTGTAATTCATCAATCTTTCTTCCAGCTTCCATTGGCTTCATGTGTCTCCCCCAGTCATAGAAGAAGATAATGTAATATCTATTTGTGAAAGGTATGTATCTTTTTCCTCTTGTTAATCTACAGGTTTATCATGTAGTGTTCCCATCCATGGAAGATATTCTTCCTTTAAAATGCTCTTCTTTAATCCTAAAGCTTGGTCAAGATATGGGCTATAAATTTGACTTCAAGAAAGATGATATCTTCTATGGACCTTACATTGATCAAAATAGATTATGCTGAAGGGTTAAACTGGCTCATATCTCAGCTGTGAACTTTTTAAACTGGCATAATATAACAAAAAGTTTTTTTTCCCTTAGTGAAAAGCCTGATGCAAATTCAGGTGCCTCCCTACTGCAATCATTCCTCATCCATTTCCTCCTGGGTCTGAACTGATGCAGGATCTTTTAACCTTCACCTGTATTGTCTGAAACATGTTGCATTTTAAGGTTTGACATGGAAAGACAATATCCAAGTCCTTCTTTGATTGTTACATGTAAGTTCTTAAGTCTAAAGTTGAAACACGACACTTTGGTTTATTTCCCTTTGGTCTCAAGGGATCACATATCCCTACCAAAGAGCAGAAGGCTTGGAAATTTCAATCCATCCATTGGCTTATGGAGAAAGAAAACTAAGACACATATAAGGTCTTCACTCTCTACTTCACTTTCTAAGACACTGGCCTGACTCAATCTGATATTATATTAATTATATTATATTTGATATTATATTCTAACATGCTTTCCACTAGACCAAAAACTCATTAAGGGAAATTTTAAAAAGTTGATTCCTAATATCATCCCCAAATGTTTCTCTAGCATAATCTCTGTGACATTATACAATAACATTAGCTTTACCATTTTTATTTCTCAAATAGTTATTGAGCATTGATGATGTGATGGATTGTTTTAGGTGATAGAAACAAGACCATAAACAATTCTGCACATACCTCTAACCTCATGAAACCTAAATTTTACTGTGAAACGAAAACATATCAGAGATAGACAGAATTTATGATAAAGTATATATGAATAAGTACTACAGACAAATTACAGCAAGAAAGGTGCAATTATGATATGAGTGTGTACAGGCAATGGTTTTGTGGATCATAGTAGGCATTGCAGCTGAGCAGGGAATTCTTGGCTTCTGGTGCAAACATATATAAACAAGAAAATGAGATACAAGATGAATCTTGGTGGCCTCAAGGAAGATAGCAATGATGAGACTGGGTGTATTGGGAGGTGATAGAAGCTGTTCAGAGACTTTCCAGAATTATAGAGTTCCCTGTAATTCCTGAAAATACTGAAATGAAAGCCTCTAAATAATCACAATTTCTGATTTTCCTCTCAACTTGCTGTCAGAAGCAAGATGGCATTTTAACCAGAGTCCACAGACAGATTAACTGGTTGCTTCTGTCATACATTTTCAAGCATGTTCTTATATTTCATTTTCCTTATTCACTCAAGTTAGAAAGTCCAGTAGCATGTGGACAGCCTAATAAAATGTTCTTTCTTAAGGCCCTTAGCTGCTTCTTCATTTTCTCTCTTCATACAGTGTGAAATTTCTGTCTTATGAAGTGCTGAAGAAAAGACTATTAAAAGTTCATTTCAAAAGCTCCTTTTAAGGATGTTCCTGCTGTGTTGATTTACCTTTGATTTCTCTTTTACATCCCACCCAGATAATCTTCATGACTATATTGCTCATCAAATCTACATTGATATTTATTTATGGTTTGTAGGTGATCTTTGCTCAGCTCTAATAGCTATAAAATTTTCATTAAAGAACAGTCAGAACTTCCAGTCCCTTTTATTAATAGCTATACTACTTGAATATTCCTTAAAATGAGTGGGATAAAGCAGGGCAGCAGTTGATTCAAGTCCTGTCTTGGAGCTCTAGTTACTGAATGAAGCTGTGTGCATCCTCTCAAACTTGCTTGCTTCTTCTGAAAGTTATGCTATTAATTTTATTGGCAAGTAATTCTATTGGAAATAGATTTTATACAATATATTTTAATTAGAGTTCCCACTCTCCCAACTACTCTCAGATTCTCTGCACTCCCCTATCCAAATCCACATTCTTTCTTGATTTCTCTCATTAGAAAAAAAACAGGAATCTTTTTCAAAAAAAGAAAAGAAAGGAAAATGAAAAACGAACAAATCTTAATAGTATAAAACAAACAAATGAACAGAATAACAAAGTTCCATGTAAAAAGGAGAAGAAAAACATATAGATGAAGACAAACACACATTGACAAACACACAAAACACATAAAACACAATCTCAAAAACCATAATACATACATGTATATATGCAAAATCCTGTAAGATGGGGAAAAAAAGAAAAATATACAAATCTCAAGACAAAGCATTATGAGATCAAATCACTCCAAAATCACCATTGAATTAATTTTGTGTTGGCCATCTACTGCTGGGCACAGGGCTTGACTTTAACAACGGTTTGTACAACTGATGGGTGCATATTATAATTTTATTCAGGAACTATATTAGGCATTGTATATATCATTTAAATTGTTAAGGGCATACAATATAACATTTACCACCTCAGTTATTTTACGTGTATAATAAACTGACATTAATTATAAGTACATTATAATG